GTCTTTTTTGTACTTTGGTCGCGAAAATGAGTAGAGGGATAAAGAAAACACAGTAATGGATACACAAAACACATAATCTTCTGATTTAGCAGACTACTATTTAGCAATTGTCTTAACACGTCAAACATTAATTAATATTTTCATAATTTTTCTATTATCCATCCTCCAAGTTAATCCTCAAATCTTAAATTAATAATAAAACTAAAGGTCTTATTAATTCCTCACACTGTTTGAGAAAAATACTACACATGCCTCGGCGGGAACGGGGATTGTTTGACTCGTATTAATACAAGGCCTCGCTGGCGCTCGTCCTTGTAATTCATACTCGTCCAGCAATTCCTTACTTCCCGGCCTCTGCAATAATGTACTATATTTATGATCCTATCGAATTCAAGCTCCAGCGTCGAGCGTCAATTACAAATATATGATTTTTTTTATAGAAGGCCATAATGTAGCGCTGCAACATACTGCGAAATTTACACGATGGTTACGCGCCTTTTTGCAAGCGACCAGAACAATTAAAGGTACGAAAAGTTCCGTTGTGTGCTTGAAACCGTCGGTCCACGTCAGCGTTTGCAGCAAATTCTTTTGTTTTTATTAGTTGTTTCGTTACTACTGACTTCTACTTGACTTCCCCCACCACTGAACATGCTGTAACTGAATTACCAAATATCGTGAGTGTATTTTGACGCTTCCAGCAAATTTATGACGCTTCAAGCGTGTGGATATGTTCATGGCTGAGGCAAAGAAGAGCGCTCCACTACTTATTTTCATAAAATATTTAGAAGCGTAGTTGTAGCGCCACTTTTATAGTCACAATTAGTGAACTATAAATTGCTGAAGCGTTACAGACGCACGACTGTCGCGCCACAGTTGTGCCACTACAGCGCTTGTATAAGCGTCTAATTCAAACGCGACCTAAGTAACGGAACGAACAAGTCTGTCCATAACCGTATCAGTGACACTCTGTGAGCTTTAAATCTGACGGGCACTGCCACTGCGCCCATTACCCTGAGACATAAGATGACAAGTCACATGTGCCTGTCATTTCACCAGCACCTTTCAAAAACCAGAACGCAGAAATGCTTCATTTCTGCTTGCCGGCAGAAATAGTTAAGGTGTCAGTGTCAAATATCCCTTACAACAATATAGGCCGTATTACAATTTAAAGGAAATAATTTATTTACATCACTACAGACAACACATTAAATTCTGAATGGAACTAAATAAATAACCCTGTCCCCGCAGAATTGTGGTTACGTCCGTTCGTGAGAAAGGGTACGGTAATGTGGAAATATACGTGAAGAGCTCATTTTGTATTCGTTTTCTTCGATAAGACCAGCATTATAAAATAGTATCTGCTCTTACTAGGAACCTAGAGTTTCTTCAATTGTAATTATAATAAGACATACGTTTGATAATGCGACTCACGATGAAACGGGTTTGTTTAAAAATTCGTTAAATTTACATTTGCAATTACAAACTTATTAATCAGCTTTGAGTTACGACGAACTGTCTGCGAACACATGAGCAAAAGGAACTCGTTCAACAAGACAATCGCTCTAGTGGTCGAGTGGTCGATACATTGAAACCTTGTAGAGTGCGACTTTTATTTGGGATGGGAAAAAAATTACGGCGCGCCGGCTAGTACCCACCGCGCGTGTATAACGATTAATTTTCTAATTTGCTTTCTCTATCGACGCTTCTTTAAATAATCGTCACTTTATTTTGCCTTTTCTAATACCGCATTTACACTATCGCACTCGTTATTCGCATCGCCACTCGTCGAAACAATCGACGAAATATTCGTGTCGAGTGGCTAACGCGAACGACCGTTGACACATTCGTGCGATATTCCATTTGAACTCTCGCGTGCTAATTTATTTATAATTATTGGCAACCGGAGCTAGCTACAGAAGTCTTCGTTACATGTTCAAGATTTCAATTTTTTTGTTTTAGAGTTATTCCGATAAACCAAATTTGATACTTTTAATGCGCATAAATTTAAAATATCCTGTCGCATGTCACGCGAACTTCAGGCATATATTTGTTTCACAAATTTGGGCGGAGCCAACGTTAAAACTTTTTTGGAATGAGAGCTCTTAAAGTAACTAACGAATATTAATTTGAGCATTCTGTCACCTTAAGTGCCACGCAAACATACAATCGGCGTGCAAACGTGAAGCGAATATTCTATTTTCATACAAATTGTTGTTGCGGTAGCATTCGACATTCCCTATGTTTCTGTCATTTCTGTATATATTCGCATATATACAGAAATGAAGAGATTTGTAGAAGAACGAAAGTCACCGACATAGCTCAAAGGTATAGCAAGTTGAAGTGACAGTGGGCAGGGCACATAGTTCGTAGAATTGACGGCCTTTGGGGCAGAAAGGTTCTTGAATGGAGACCACGAACCGGAAGGCGTTCAGTGAGACGGCCCCGTACTAGATGGACGGATGACCTGGTAAGGGCGGCGGGTAACCGCTGGATGCACGTCGCGTCCGACCGGCTAGTCTGGCAATCTTTGGGTGAGGCGTATGTTCAGCAGTGGAAGTCTTCCGGCTGATATGATAATGATGATGAGAATATTCGCTTATAGTTGCTAGTTGCTTGTATTTAACAGAAGACACAAGTTTACGCGGCGCCTTGGAGAACCGAATAGAATTAAGTTTCTTCTACTGGGCTACTGCCGCTCTTTTATGTAATATATTATAATATGTTAGACCTAATAAAAAAAATTAAAGTAACAGCTAGCAGTGCTTGAATAAATTGCTGAAAATACTCATCATGCACGAAATAAAGCACTTACAATATTACAAATAGTCGTACCCCATACTCTCGCACCATACAATTTATGGCTTTATATGGTTGCAATTATAGTACCCAGTAGTTGTAAAATGTTACTGATCTATAGTGTGTAGATAGTAGAAAATAACGTCTTCTACTCTAAGCACTGCAGAAATAAAATGCATCGACAGAATAAGAGACCCCCCACACTAGCACTTTTCGAGCGTGCTTTGGCAAGACGCTTGAAAGACAGACGCTAGTGTGGGGAGCCTCTAAGAAACCCCCCACACAAGCGTCTTTCGAGCGTATTGAGCGTCGCCGCTGCGCGGACATCGTGACGACCATAGATGTGACGACGCTGTGCTTACATCGGAAAGACGCTCGAAAGACGCTAGTGTGGGAGGTCTCTTAGAAAAAGAAAAAGTACTGTAGAAGCTGACCTTGCAGACCGTATCCGTTTACAATTTTTTTTATGTGCCAGAAAAATACACCAATTACCTGATCTCAAACTAAGGTATTTCATGTTCTGCGACTACCAGAGCTATGGAATTTACTCCGAGGCAGACCCGACTCTAACCCTGTTCATGAAAGCCGTTGGGTCGCCGAGAGGTGGTTAAAAATTAGAAGTTAATTTAGTTTATCTTTCATTCTTGATACATAGGGCGCACTATAAGTTTCCGGATCTGGCCACTTACATAAACAATATTTAAAAAGTAATTACAAGATTTGAAAACAGAACTCTTTGGCTGTACAATACAGTTTCTTTCATGTGACTGCCACTCGTTTTTACATTGTGGCGTCATTTTAGAAATTGGTTGTCTACATCACTATGGATTTAACTCGTGAAAAATTTTCGTAGTATGATTTTCTACGACTTTAATGTAATTTAACAGCTCAGCGGGGCTTCGCTCGGCTTTAAACTGCTTTTAGCGATGAAGCACCATGCAAGACGACTATTTATAACTGGTTTGCAGAATTCAAACGCGGTCGTGTGTCAAAACGGATCGCGTCACTTGGTGCACACGGCCAGACAGACAAATGATTTTTGAAGGTGAACAACGTTGACCTTATGAGCCATCCCGCGTACAGTCCCGACCTGGCACCTTGTGACTTTTATTTATTTCCAAAAATTAAGAACAAGTTACGCAGTCAACGATTTTCGTCACCTGAAGAGGTTGTCGAAGAATATGAAAAATATGTTTCAGAGATTGTCACGGAGGAGTGGCATAAATGTTTTCAAAATTGGTTCATTCGTATGAAAAAGTGCAATAACGCTAATGGAGAACATTTTGAGAAACAATGAATTCATTTCTGACCATTTATAGTATTTTTTTTCTTATTCATTCCGGAAACTTATAGTGAGTCTCACGTACACTTGCAAATTAAATGTGTACACCAACTGCAGTTGTCAATTCAGTCGGAAAGTTCCGAACTAAAGTGATTTCATCATCTTTATAAATGTTTTCTAAGTCTGAACACTGAATGTGATACAAATAAATAAGTTGTAATTCAACGAGATCTTCTCACTCATAACTCACTTTTCATTCATTCTCTCCTTAGTTGTGCCTAGTAGGACCTACCACTTACTTAAAGTTTCAATAGATCAATCAATTTATTACAACATGATGATAGATAGGAGGATATATTTGTGTATACCTAGATCCTCAAAGATACTTGAGGATCTAGGTATTCACTTTCCCTAATGGGACGCCACAAGGTGCGGTCGTAGGGTCCATATTATATTATAAGGCTTAATTTTGCAAACTGCGCCTCATCGTCGGTGACAATCAGTGATCGGAATTAAGGAACTTAATTTAGCTAAACTAAAGAATAAACGTAGACATTCCCTTCTCCAATTCCCGGTACGTCTCGGACTTATTATTTATTGAAATTTGAGTACATTGGCGATAAATTATTATTTCCTATTAAGAGTCCGATATTACCTGTGACGGTGTGACCTCCTTTCACCGTCATCTCACCTCTTTGTATCGCCTCTCTCCGCTTGTATCCTATCATTGTTTATTAATTCATCATTCATTGTTTATCATTGTTTTTACATGTATTTAAATTTGAATTGTTCTATCTTCCTTCTCTTTCTCATTCTCATTTTGTTTTTGTACCACGGTCACTCCCAGCTCGACCGCGACAAGAGTCGGAGCGTTAATAAGCTATGTAATCATGTTTAACATTTTATAATTTAAGTCTACAGCCTTCGTGTATCTATTTCTGTTTCCATTTCTGTAATTCAGTTTCTCGGCCCTTTTGGGGTAAGTGTACTTATTCATTAAGTTAGGGAGTGTTTTATATTGTTGTACCTGTTTTTCTATATATACCTTTTTATTGTTACAGTCTTACTCCTTTCTTTAATCTTTACTTCTTTAATAAATGTTGTGGACCGGAAGTTTCCCATTTCATTGCCGTGAACCTGTTCACGGCTAGTTAGGGTTACAACCCTTTCATACCTAAGCTCGAATTAAAATTCGTCCCGTACTAATACCGTTTAGTTTATATATAGTTTATTTACACCGAGCAGCAGGGACACGCGCTTTATTTCAGAATTTAAGTTTTTACAAACGAAATTAAAGCCGTTTCAAAAATGCATGTCGTATACTATATGTGTTATATTTAGTTCAGTTTATAAAAATCATTGGTACATGTAAAGTACCTATTGAACACCGCGGTTTTTTGTTAAATTTTGACGTAAGTTTGTGTTTTTCTTCTATCATGAAAATTTTTAGAAATCATGTTTCCACACTGTATAGTAAATCAGTGTGTATCCTCAATTTTACTATATATTTTTTTTAAAGTGATTGATTCAACGCTTTCGCTGTTATGCGGAATCAACCAAAGTCATTTGAGGTTGTATAGACTTAAGTATTCGCTTCAAATTATTGTCTCAAAAAATATTGTACTTGTGTTTCTATAAGTACTTACGTATTTAAATGCTTTAACTATATTAAAAATAAACATCAGGCAACCTATATTTTTGAATGTTTAGAAAATTGACAGTAAAAATAACATGATAAAAAAACTTTGAAACTTTAAGTAAATTAACTAACTCCATAAAATCTCATCACTGGTGATAATTAATGATGAAGTAAGTTCTTCAAAGTATAATGGTTTTCAAAAGCCAGGTGGGGAAATGTTTTCCTCATCTGGCTTTAGAAAACCAAAGCCAAGTGGGGAAAACATAGTATCCTGTGAAATAGCGCCGTTGGGAAAAGAGAATGTAGTTACATCACGTACAATAAAATTTGTAAATAAACAACAAGAAAAAGACATCAAAGTACACACGTACATTTATTATCAGTGAAACAAATAGTCGAAACAGTGAAACTTCTAAGAATTGTAAAAGTTTTAACGGAACTTTAGTAAAACTCGAAAGAAAAAGATATAAAAATTTCAAAGTCCAACGTTTACTTCTCACACTTCAGTTGAATAAAATACTATTTTAAGGGTATAAAATGTTTTCACAGACAGTGGTTGCACACTTTGTGTTGTTGAAAATTGATACTAAAAAGTCGATTTGAATATTCAGTTTAGAAATATAACAGCTTTAGGCGGTCCTTTAAACAGTTCATGGAAAGCAGACACGTTCTATTGTTAAATTTCAAAAAATATTTATAATTCACTTTTTGTATATCTTAATCGATCTTTCGGGGACTTTAGTATTGTCTACCTAATTTCAGTGGCAATTTTTTTTATTTAAGTATTCGTTTTTTTTATTTAACGTAAAATATTATGTAATATTCGAGTATTGTGTCGTGAAATATTATAAAATAATAATAAAAATTGCCACAGAAATTAAGAAGTGAACACTAGTCCGAGAATGACCGTCATATGATTAGTGAAATTCGTCTTTCACAGCATGGGGTTGCTTGAAAAGTTTCTCGGAAGAAAATCGAGAAATGAAGAAGTTTCCAAAGAAAGGGTAAGACAATTTTAATTACAAATGAAGAATGTAGATATATCGAACTAGGCAGTATTTTAAGAACGAACTTTCGTTATAAAACATTACTTCAAATATCCTATTTAGAGAGAGACAAAGAGAGAGCTCTAAATTCCAAATTTTACCATTTGTTTATCGGCGTGCTTTATCGGGTTCGGTCGTTAGGTATGTATATTCCTAATCGTCAGTATGATTCCATACTTTTAGTACGGAATCATTTCATCTAAGTATCGTCAGAAAAGAACCACATCTAACAGAGAACAGACAAACGCAAAACAAGCTTACGTTTATTTTTATTATAATATATTAGAGGCTTATAGGTGACTCGGAATTAGTACAGGCAAAGCTGCAGAACCTTGAACACTGCCGTAAAATTGCCTGCATATCGGTATTCTACAGGATATAGCACGGAGAGTATGCGATGGAATTACACGATTTAATTCCGCCTTCCCCTTTCTGTCACTGGGGGATTAGATATAGACTTGGGCTCCACCCGTATATTGTGGACTTTCCAAAGATTCGCACGAAGCGTTACGCTTCCACATTTATACAGAGAACGGTGTGGAATTCCCTGCCTAAAGACTTGTTCCCTGAACGTTATAACTTGTACCTTTTTAAGGCGAGAGTTAATATGCATTATTTAGATGTACATGCTCCATCGTAAGTTTCCATCAGGTGAGATGGAGGCCAAATGGCGCACTTACATTTTTATTAAAAAAATGTTATTTTATTTATTAAAAACAAATACTTAGCGTTTTTTTGGCTTTCGTTTGAATTTGTTAACAAAATATACATTAAATATTGGTTGTGTTCCATTATTTTATTTATTCGCAGAAAAAGTATTCTACGCAATCATTACATAATTCGGTCTTAAAATCGGTACCGATTATTTAGGCCACTCGGCAAGGTCTCGTGGCCTAAACACGGCACTCGACTTTAAGAACCGACATTATGTAACGATTTCAAATACCTAATACTATTATTTCATACATTGACTGACCGATTTAGGCGTTGTATAGTATACTGGATTACATACACTACCGATAGCATAATATATTGTATTAATACAGTGTGGAAATATTTATGCATAAATAGACAAAATATTTTTCTGTAAATCTTGTTTTAGACTTTGAAATACGAATTGAAAGACTATGATGAAACTTATGCCATCCCCATGGCAGTTCTCAAGCTGGTCGGACTACGATTGCAACGGGAAGATACTGTAATTGTTAAGTAAGTTGAACTTGCAACGGGGCTTACAATAAACACATTTTAGCGTCTCGTGTTTATGACTTCTAACGTGCTCACTAGGTTTATTTTTGAAGTAATTCTCTCTGAATCGGATCGGCTGTCCTAAAGATTATATTGTTCCAAAATAAGTGGCCTATAACCATAGATTTTTTTTAAATTTTTTAAGGCTTTGACAAAGCCATCAGCCTAAACATGAAGTTTAATTATGTTTCTGTAAATATGGCCGCCACAAAGAGGATAAGCAATTTGAGGCGGCGTGCTTGGATTGACTCGTGATTCCTTAAAACGGGCCGATACGGGTATTTTAGTTCGAGATTCATATAATTTCGCGTTTTAATTTTCGATTAAGGCACAATAGCACTATCCTATTCCACTTTAAACAAGATTTCACAAAACAATTGAAAGTCAAAATAAAATCGACACTTTTCCCTCCAAAATGCCCAGAGCGAATCCAATAGATGTAGAAAAAAAGGGGAGATATGGTATGGGGGCGTGGTCCGTGTCGCTTCGATGTGGTCAAAATGACCATATGGCGATCGTTGTACATACAAGATCTCTCGTAAAACGTGAAAATGCCAAGTTGTAGCGATGCACCTTGCAAAAATTGGAGTGAAAACAAGAATTTTCAAACCTGTGAGATAACATTCCACCGGCTATTTGCATTTTTAGTTACTATTTCTATTATTATTCAATGTTTTCTTTTTGTCTCCATAGAAATTTCTAAACTCAAATATAGTGATGTTCATTTACGAAGACTGATGTTTATCGACAATAAATGTTTACTGAAATGTTTGAATTTCTTATTATGATTTTTGAAATTAAAGTCCCTAAAATATCGAAGCGAAAAGCATTCACGTTAAATTGATTTCTTTTATTTTATTATTATTATTATTACTAAACATTTTATATCGAGTAACTTTAACACAACTCATATTTCGGACAACCGTTTCAATTTCATGTCAATTTGGATGTTGCTGTTGCTTGAAGAAAAATTTATGTGTTTTAGATATTTAAGATATTTAAATTATACTCGTAGATTAAACGTAGAGTATTTTTAAT